ACCCATAATGCTAAAGTTAATATATTATGTTTGTATTCACGAATCGGAGGTGGTAGTTCAACTATAGAAGCATAAAAAGGCCATAAACTTCGCTTATTGCTGGGCACCAATGTTGCAGCATCAGCATGCAAAATTAATGTAATAACATTTCCATTTGTTTTATTATTCGTGATTTCCTGATAAAATCCAAATCGAGAAACATCACCTGGTGGAAATAGATGATTTGTTTGGCCAGTAAGTGCATCAACATTGCGTGCTAAAATTGATTCAAGACGTGAAATGATGTTAACAGTGACAACTTCTGTTAATTCATTGTTGTTTAATGTCCGTTGAGATCCAACACAACCACTGGTTAAACATATTTTTGCACCAAGCTTCAAAGTAGACACAATACTTGAACAGTGATTACAATAATATTGAGTTGTAAACATTGATGTTCGACCAGATCGTTTGAGTATTTGCTTGTGTGTAACAGGAAGATTATTCGGGCTTGGTAGAAATGATTTTATTAGTACGAGTAGCTTTTTAGATTTCAGTTTATCCAAGTTAGCATCAAGTGAAAATTTCATGATACGATCTGTCGCAAGTGCAGTACTAATGGATGAACCAAGAAATAATGGTGGTGAATCATCAGGAATTTCATTCGAAATAATATAAGCGTTGTCATGTTCATCGACTTCATAAGATAAAAGATCATCAGATGTTGAAAGAGAAACTGGTGCTGCATTTGTTGATTGTTCTTGGAATGGTATACTTTCATCGGATTGAGAATCGATTGGTGAATGAATACGGCGAATCATTTGATGTTGTTGTTGACGCCGAATTTTCTGGCGAATAACTTTCGGTGAGTAAAAACGACGCGAAAACATCTAAACAGAAATAGGCAATTAGTAGGGGTGATTCTTTCTCTGTACGTTCCTTTATAATAAAGGATAAACATAAACAAATCCCTTACCTTTATTTTCTAAATATAAATGACCTTGTTTCTTTAAAAAAAATAAATGATAAGCCTTTTTTCCAACGGTTTATCTTTATTTTCTAACGATAAATAGTCCTTTATCGTTAAAAAATATAGATAAAAGAACCATTTATCATTATTTTTCAAAGTAATACTAAATGACTAATCATAGTAATGACCCATGTAAAAAATTAAAGATAAAATCAGATCAAAATCGAATAAAAAATGATTAGAAATCGATTAAAATCATAGACCTTTTAATCGATTTTTAATCAAAAATAATCAAAAAAAAATAAAAATTTCATGCATAAATTTGATTAATTCTGGTTAATTTCGATTATAATCGATTAAAATTTGATGAGAAAAGTCGATTTTAATCGATTTTTGTTCGTGATTTATAAAAAAAAATTTAGCTGATTTTCATCGATTTGTATCAATTAAAATCGATTTTTCTCATGAAATTTTAATCGATTATAAACGAAATTAATCAGAATTAGTCGAATTTCTGTATGAAAGTTTGATTTTTTGACTATCTTTGATTAAAAATCGATTAAAAGGTGTATGATTTTAATCGATTTCTAATCATTTTTTAATCCATTCTAATCTGATTTTACCTTTAATTTTTTTACATGGGTAGAAGTATTAGGTAAAAGTTATTATAGCAAGTCAAATTTAAAAAAAATACTCCGTACAGATAAAACTACTCTCAAAGATAACTTTATTATACGAAAATGAAAAAATTAGACTATTCAAAAAGATTCTAATTCAATCAAAACAAGTGACAGAGTCGTCTTTGAAATAGAATTTTCTCCTAGTAATCATAACTCTAGTATTATCAAAATAAAATATCAGTGTAACTGGATACAACACATTCGCTACTGATAAATTTGTCGATATTTATAGATGCGTTATAAGTGTTTTATTCGAACGAGAAAAAGATCGACGGCATATATCGACGGTAAAAAAAAATCACCGGCGGTATACCGCGGTCATTATAAAAACCGCCGGTATACCGTGGTCATTGTAAAAACCGCCAGTATACCTCGGTAATACACGTAAATGCGCGACATGGGTATTATTTCTAATAAAAGATTTATTTTTATATGTAAAAAAGGTTATATTGGTGATCAATGTTAAATAAAAGAAAATGAAATAATACTATCATTTGAGAATAAAGTATTAAATTACCGTAATCGATATTTATTCATTTTATAGAGATTTTTGAATAATAAACCACCAATTAGATCAACAACACTTCAAACAATTCCTGTTAAACAAAATTTTATTAAAATACTTTGGTTAAGACCATTTCATCTTATTTTGTTTCAATTTTTAGAAGAGAAATATTATTTAGTTGTTATTGAAAATACTTATAATCAATCTACAACAATTCTATGAATAATAAATCAATCAAATTGTTGTCAACATGTAAATGAAATATTTAATCAAACAATTGTTAAATTAAATTTAAATCTTTCATGTTTTTATGATAACAATCATCTATATTTATGTTATAATTTCAACGAAAAACGTATTTGAAATTGTTTC